CAGTCAGCTCATCCCCTTCGTCCACAGAGGGTGTCGAAATGGAAGAGAAGGGAATGGGAGTGTCTGTTATCAGTCTGAGAGAAACTGTGTAGTAAAGAAAATTGAAAGAATGAAGAAATTTAAAGGCAGAGGGAAGAATTAACCCTAATGGATTGAAAGTCAACAAAGAGTCAATTAAAAGAAAAAAAAAGCTATTGACAAGACCTACAGAGGAGGAGAGAATGATTAGAACTCAGTGTAAGTTGAATAGCAGTGAGAGTTCAGGTGACTGTCTTGATGTCACTCCACTCCCTGCCCCCAACATCTCAGGGGAAGAGGTATGCATACTGTGGACAGGGGGTTGTGGCCTGGAGATTTTGGAGGCCCACACGAATGACTTTGATGAGAGGTGTTCTTATGGTTCTTGAGAAAGTCCTCATGGGGGAGAGTTGGGAGTTAAGTTCAGAGCCATGAACTTCCACTCTGCCCAAGCTCAAACTCGATGCTTCAGAGAAAATGAGTGAGATGGTGACAAGTTAAGGTCACTGCCCAATTTCAAAGGTAATTCACAGATTGCTGAGTCCCTTTGAGACTCTTGAGAGGCCCCATTGGAACCCCTAATATAGAGCTTACTTAAATCAGGATAGGAGTAGCTTGTGGTAGATGTTGGCAGGGAGGCGAGTGTATTTTTAACCAGGTTATTAGTCTCTTCTGTGCTCTACTAACTTCCTTGGCAAATTTAAATTTAGAAAGCTAATAGCAATGCTATTCCCCAGACCCCACGGAACACCTTTGTCATCTTCCACTCCAGTCAGCCACTAATGGGACGCTAATATATTTTGACATAAAGGGACACGACTGAATTACTTGGCTTTCATTTCATCTCTGTGTGCTTTTTCTCCCCCATGTACTAGTCTGTTTTCATGTTATCGATTTCCCTGTAAAATACTAGGTAGGAGGAAACCCAGAAGAACTGTGACACCAGCCAGGCTAGACAGTATTCACCCAGAGGAAGCCCAACAGCTTGTCACAAGTGTCTAGGAGGTTCCTGTATACGCCTTAAACATCTTCCAATACCTGGTATTAGCAGATGCTGTGACTTATTAGGCAGAACCTTATCTAAGAGCAGAATCTTCAGAATGATAATTATACTGATAATAGCTAATATCTATTGAGCACTTACAATGCTCCAGCCAGTTTTCTAAGCACATCACCTGCATTGGCTCATTCAACTCTTATAGTATCCCTATGAGGTGAATAGTGTTATTATCGCTTCACCCACGAGGAAACTGAAGCACAGAGTTTCCTGATTAACCAATAAGGGGAAGAGCTTTCCTTCCAATCCAGGCCATCTGACTTGGAATCTGAGCTGCCCTTTTGTCGAGTTGCGTTCCTTAGCTACTGTTTACACTGAGGCACAGAATAATTCCAAGAGGTTTTCCACCGTGGTCTCCAGGATTGAAGGCTTTGAAATTTGCTGATGGGCCTCATCAATGGCAACATTTGATGGCAGGCCAAATGCAGGGTCCTGAGCAGTAAACTGTCTTTAAGTAACCTGCTGCTGGCAGGAATGGGGGATGTGTTGTTGGCAGAAGACGGGAACTGAGAACAAGACAGTGCTTGTGTAGGAAGCTGGATAGAAAAGTGTGACAGGTGGTTAGAGAGAGTCTCTGTTTTCTTCCATCTTGCTTAGCTGATCATTCCAGAGATGAAATGAGATACTATGTGAATTCATGTGGGATCTGAAAGCTCTGTTCAAATGAAAGTTTCTGTTGTTCATCCACATTGTGCCCACCCTTAAGTCAGGAAGATTGGTGGGAGGCTGTGGTTCCGGAGGCAACAGTGTGTGGTTGGAATTGGTAGGCAGAGATGACAGGCTGGGAGGCAGAAGGCTGTTGATAGGGAACTTGATAAAGGTGACACACACTTATTAGCCCTGGGGAGCTCCCTGGAGGAGGGGTACAGTGACTGGATCCATTCTCTGGTTCCTATTTCCCACTCTGTTGCTACTGCTGTAGCCAGGTCTTAGTCTTGGAAGCTCCAGCCCACAGGAGAAGACAAGAGGTCACTGTCAGTGACCTGCTATTATCTCAAATATTGTATAGGGAGAGATCTTTCGACCTCTATCCTCACTCATCTCCCATTACAGAATATGATGGGTCACCACATTCTATGGTTTCAGCTTCCCTCTTATCTGCTTCACTTGCAGGAAAATATTTACTAATTATAGTCCATGCAGGTCACTGGGGTGAACTTGGAAATAAAAGGATTAGACCCCTCTTTATTTCAGGGTAAGCATTTGGTATGAACATTGTGTGGTCACTCTGTTAATCTCTGAAAATCTTTCCCAACTACTCCCATCTAATACCTAACACTCTGCTATAATTCCTATTTTTACTCTTGTCCTGAGTTATCATCATTCATTTATATATTGACATACTATTAGAATAATTATATTATTTTTCTAAAAATGATGACGCTTAATGTAAAATAATTGCCAAATCCCATCACATGGAGATGACCACTTGGGACCAGTTCATTGAACATTTTCTCCAGACAATTCTCTATATATACAAACTCCAGGCTTCCACAGTGTACATGAAGGAGATTCCACCATGTATAATTTCCCATGACTTTTTTCACTTGCTAGTATGTTGTTGTCAGACGTTTCCCTAGATAAATGTAGATCTACACAATCGTGTAATATTTGCCCAGCATTCTCTTGCTTGAATGTACCAGTTTACTAAGCCACCACTGTTGATTGTCGACTGACAAAGAAAAGACTGTGAGCACAACACTGAGCTCATCTGATTCTGCGAATCCAGGTTCTAGGCCAGTGATGGCGAACCTTTTGAGCTCGGCGTGTCAGCATTTTGAAAAACCCTAACTTAACTCTGGTGTCGTGTCACATATAGAAATTTTTTGATATTTGCAACCATAGTAAAACAAAGACTTATATTTTTTGATATTTATTTTATATATTTAAATGCCATTTAACAAAGAAAAATCAACCAAAAAAATGAGTTTGCGTGTCACCTCTGACACACGTGTCATAGGTTCGCCATCACTGCTCTAGGCTTTGCTGTCAAATCCGTGGGATTCTTGGCATCATATAATATAAGGAACATGAAACCATTGAGTGAAAGTCCAAGGCTCTGCTCCCAGCTCTGCCACTTAGTAGCTATGTGACCATGAATTCACTTTATCTTTCTGAACCTCAGTTTTCCTATCTGTAACTGATGGTGTGAGTATGCATGATATTTAAAGTGTATCCCACTAATTTACAAAGCTGCTGTCAAACTATACCTCTTTAAGTACTTAAGTATTTATGTAAGTTTCCTGACAATGTCCAGCACAATGCCTAATACAAACTGGACTCCCAGCAAACACCTTTGGCTGAATGACCAATGCAGCTGTTAAATCTGGCTTCTCAACTTCCCCTCAGAAACACTCATCTCATGGTTTAGTATACTAGTAGGCTTAATTTTTAATTCAGTAAACTATAGACATTTTTATCTGTTCACCATTTCTCTTTAGAATTCATGCATTTATATATAAATGTGTGTGTGTGTGTGTGTGTGTGTGTGTTTTGGGGGGAGAACTATGTATGGATGTATACATATATCTATAAAGGGGAGTATGTGTTTTACTTTGGGGATGAGTAGAGTGGGAGTCTATATGGAGGGAGTTAACTATACTTTGCCCTAAAATGTGGTTTTAGACAAGAGAATTAGATTACATTATTTTTCCTCTACATCTAACAGAGTTGTAATGAAATTAAATACATGTGTGTGTGTGTGTGTGTGTGTGTGTTTGAGGTGGGAGTAGCAGTATTCTGACAATTTTTTAAAATTATCATGTCTTCCTTCCATTCATCCTTTCCTTTTTTCTTTCTTTCCTCTCCTCTCCTACCTCCTTCTCTCCTTCCTTCCCTTTATCTTTCCTTCCTCCCTTCCCCCTTTCTTTCACTTTCCTTTCCTTTCCCCTCCCTCCCTCCCTCTCTCCCTCCAAAATGAATGAAGGAGTAATGCTCTTCTTTTTACTTTAGTCAATGGTGACTTTTATCCCATAATATAAGAAAGAAGTAATCCTTTATTTGAGAAAATTTTCTGAACCAATGAAATTTAAGTATAATATTCAGGGACACGTGGGGATTGTGTTTTATTAATATATTAAAGAAATATATCGTTTCATAATGGTGATGATGAAAACTAAATTGATTCACTCCACTAATACCCCTAATTAAACTATTTTGAAAATATTACTTAAGAACATTCAGGGAATCCAGATGAAGTCTGTGAAGATGAGCAGGCTGCTTCGGAGAGTTCGGTACTACCCCCTTTATTGTTTAATATCTTGAACTAGAATGGATTGAATTCTTTGAAATCAAAATGCATACTTCATTCCCTTCCTAAGGAAGGTGCTTGGTGCACATTTTTAATTTTGAGTTTTATTTTGCGATGCTCAGAGGCTCCCTCACAGGCATTGTTCACTGTGATATGTTTTGACCAAGAGTTGCTCGCAGAGACTATTGAGGTGTCTAGAGCTATTTCAGTCTCGCTCCTGTGCTTTTGGGGATCATTAGCTCGCTTTTTGTAGTTTTCCTGTCTCTTATAAGGGTCAAGCTGGCACATTTGGCTGTTAGGACATATTTGCCTAGAACATTTCTTTATCACTCTACCTACTATTCACTGTTTCAGATTCACTGCATGTAATTTATTGTGGAACTAAACACACGATCTTAGAATTTTTACCAAGTTAATAGCAAATATGATATGACTGGTCTCCAGAAGCTTTTCCGGCTTATTTCCATGTTTTTAACCTAAACTTCAGAAACTTGCGGTTCTGGGGAAGTGTTCTCCAGGTCATTGCTATAGTCTGTAAGAGCCCACAGTTCTGTTTAACTGTGAAGTTTCTCTTCTAAGCACGAAGACAGGATCACATGTAGTCCCCCCCGGGTGCATACGACTCCCAGTTCCACTCTCTCATTTTGGTCTGACTATGCGGTTCTTGTTTTGCAGTCCCCAGTCTATCCCAGACCGCCTGAGGATCCGCGTGAACAAAATCAGTTTGCAAGACTATGAAGGGTTCCACTATGACAAAGAGAAACTCCGGGAAGCTTGTAAGTTGGAAGTGCCTCATTGATTTCCTGTGATCTGCCTATCTTCGTCTTTTTGATCTTCCTTGGTTCGATGGATAGATTCATCTCAGATCTGAAAACCATGGTTAGAGAAATGAAGGGAAGGGAAGTAACATGGGAACTCCAGGTAATGATACGTGGACTGAAGAAAATGCAACAGGAACATGGAATAAAATTTTCCTGTTCAAGATGCCAAGTTAGGACCAGTTGGTTTATTAACTACTTTAAGTCTTGGTTTTATTTAAAATGAGAAAGCAGAAAGGTTGTGACACCACATAGTAGAGTAACATCTAGCATAGGTGTCTTCCTGGAAGCTGGTATCATTGAGGACTGTCCTTGTTCTTCGTGACAGTTATCAGTGAGGACATGTCTAACACTTCTAGCTGTTACGTGATTGTATGATGTTAAAACAAGGCCCAAGTCACATTCAATGTCATGATAAAGTGATTTCTTAAGGATGTGTCACTGTTTCCAAAATCTTAAATTCAGTCAATATATGAATTATTTCTCTATGTTCACATTTTCTAAATATTTCTTGAAATAGAGAACTAATTTGTATTCACTACATCTGTCCCTCAGTACTTATTGGGCACTTTTTTACATTCTAGTCACTATGATGCCTCCCCCCATAATTATGGGGGTCAGTAGTCAATTGCAATTAAAGTCAGAGAAGATCAGGTCCGGTGTCCAAGGATACAGCAGGGATGCTAATAGAGGAAAAGGCATTTTGTACCAAACCAGAGGTTTATGAACTAAAACTCCAAACTGGCTCCAAGCTGAACCTGCCTGGAGTTGTAGAAGACGCAAATAGTTAAAACTGGCAGGGGTGGAGTCAGGCTGCATCCCTGAGAGAATGCCTTCTGAGCTCTTGTTCCTGAACCTGTGATTTGGAGTGGGATTTGGTGGATGGAAATCCTGGAATTCAGGGACACTCTCAAGAGTGGGTACAGGGACTTTTGCATCTGGAGGTGGCGATGAGTAAGGACCCATCTCCATGGCAGCCCAGTCACCTACTAGGGTATTCTGTGTGAAATTTCTGCCTTCTCCATTCTCTCTGCTGCTTCAGCTTCCTCAGTGCTCTTGGCTCTTTTCTGTGTCATTACCGGTTCGTTTCTCCCACTCTGTCCTTCACCCATATTTCCTTTGGTAGGAAAGTTGGAGGTGGAGGAGGGCAAATTTCCCAAATTACTCCCTTCTGTCAATGAGAGATTACATTTTCTAATGTAAATGAGATTACAAGTGACAGATTAGCACAAAATCTAATTTAACCCATAATGTGATGGATATATATGTTTGAAATGGGAGGTTTAGTTACAATGTATGTGAAACTGACTTTCAGAGATAACTAATTGTAAAGAATAGTGTTTTTATTCTTTCTCAAGTCAAGCAAAGAGATTACAATTCTTGAAAAATAAAAAGAGAGAACCGATCTCAAGTTTGTACTATTTTGCAGCTTACCATCAACTCTGAAGCTAGTCAGTTGGGAGTGGGGAGGGATTTTTGGCTTCTCTGTGCATTTCAATGGTCTGTTCTGTCTATTCTATCCATTATCTGTCCATCATTGCCAGAGGTAGTTGTGATCTGAGTTTCACAAGATGATACTTCTTGGCAGGTGCTTTACTCATCATATCTTAATGTGATACAGTTTCTGTGTGAGGAAACATCCTATATCAAACTGTGGGAGGTGACTCGCTATACATATAAATCCAACAAATTCAGCAGTGTCTTTGAGACTCAAAGTACAAAGAAACACTCAAAGAGGGAATCAAGGATTTATCTCATTTTAAAGATTTGGGTTTAAAGATTATATTAATTAGAAGTAAAGATGGCCAACTCAGGCATTCTGCTTTTAATATATGGTGACGACGCTTCTAACCTGTGGTTGTACAGGAAAGTTTGTCCTTTGGGGATTTTACTTGTTTCTAACTCTGTTTTGCTTGGGTTCAACTTGAAACTGACCACAGGTTCATGGGAAGGCTGGCAGAGGTCAAGTTGAGTATAAAGGCAAACACCAGTTCCAGTCCATCGGTGACATACATGCCAAAGTAGATATCTTATTTTACAAGCATTAATTAAATGAAATTCGTAGAACACACCCAGATAAAAGGAGTCTAGGAATCCACTGACCTGCATCCCAGAAGAACAAAGGGAATGAATCCTCTTAGATCATTTATTTATTGTCCACATTCACAGTCTGAACTAGAGCAGAACTGCATTACTTGGCTTAAAAATTAGTTCCCTTTCTTGGTGATACAGCAAGCGATTGACCCAGGCATCACAGGCTGTTTGCCATCACTGTTTAATAGAATCTTGCTCATGTGCCTGCATCATTATTTATATTACATTACAAATCTAATGTTTGTTGTCTCACAAAGCCCTGCTTTCCTCTGTAAGGCAGGACTCCTCAGTGATTACAGGACGGCAGCCCTTTCAGTAGCCTGGCTTGTTTCAGCATATAAAAGGATGACTGAGCTATTTCAGATACATTTCATTCCCCTTTCATTTGGCTCCAGCTTACCTGGGGGCATTCACCCTAAAATAATAGCACGAAAAGGTTAGTCTTTGCCAGTCCCTCCTTCAGCTCTTGCTGGTAAATTTTAGACTTAGGTAAAGCAATTTGAGCCTTATTCACAGGGTTTATGAATTATTAACCCTGAGATAATGGTTATACTGTCCAAGGGTGGGAAATTTATTCAACTTAAAAGGTAGAACATAAAGAGAAAGTGGCCATATTTAAAAAAATTTTCCTAAAATAAATTTATAATATAATAATAGCGGAGACTCACTCTTAGAATCTGAATAAAGAAGTCCATAATAAAGCACATCATTATATAATTGTTGGAGTCCCAGCAGGCCCTGACGTATCCCACAGTAGCATATTGATTATTTTGAATTAATGTTGTTTACTTCAGAAACAGCCAGTGCAAGAACAACACTGACCTCTCTGTGCCCCTAAAAGTAGGGCATAAATCTCCCATGTTAAAGGCCCTCTTTTGGACCTGGAGGCAGAGATTTCTCTTATCATTAGATTTAAAGAGCCCAGAGCCAAAGAGTCTGTATAAACAAACCTGGTTGCCTCTTTATTAATTTACTACCCAAGCCCAAAGTGTTTAGGTTCCTCACTAATCAATACCCAACCCTTGCTTAGATAACTTTCTGACAGACAGTAACTTTTTTGTCCTGTCAATTCTTCACAAATGTATTGTTTGTCTAAAAATCATAAAAAGGCTTCGGATTCAGTGATTTCTTTGAGCTTCATTTTGTGATCATATTATAACTGCTCATGCATACATATTAAATTGTTTTTGTCCTGTTAATTTAGCCTTGTGTCAAGTTTATTATTTTATTATTAGACTAGTTGTAAGAAGTAAAAAAGTTTAGGGGATGTATGGAGATTCTTTCCTTTCCCTGATGTAGTCTAGACAAAGGATAATCGCTTTTGAAAATCTGTTATCTTCCATCGCCGCCTATTTGGCCCCCTTTGTTCTTTACAACCCCACCCCTTTTGACTTAGGGTGGGATGTAGTAATTATATATAGATCATGTATCATAGAAGTGTACACTTGAAACCTATATGATCCTATTAATTAATGTCACCCCCATACATTTAATTTTTTAAAAAATTTTAAAGGAAATCTGTTATATTTCTAACTTGAAAAGAGTTTCATTGATATATGACCTATTTTTTATATCTCGAATAACTTGATATGGACCAAGATTTAACTCTATTCCACATAAACTAAACTTTACTTCTGGCATTAGCTTGCTCTGCACTTTTGAGCTGCTATGATAATTCATACAAGTCTAGGGCTTAAAACACAAAAGCAAAAACCAGTTTAGAACTAATTGAAAGCAGATGTAGCCTATAAAAGTAGGAGGGGACTAACATTTGCTTTATAGTAAATATTACATGCAACAACCCTTTTATATACATTATCTCAGTATAGTGGATATTATCTGGATATTTATAATATGTAATATATAATGTATAATAGATAATATATAATCTCAGTATATGATTCTGTGGTATAGACTAATGATATTGTAATGGAATTTTCCTGCCTTTTGTTTACTGACTTAGTAGAAGAGTTGGAAATGTGTGTGTTTGAATCTCACGACCTTGACAAAGTAATTTCTCTGATCACCAAATATCTCATCTCTAAAATGAGAATATAATTGCAACCTCATAGAGTGCTGAGAGTTAAATGCAATCTTGTATGTGAAACCCCTGGTGCAACATCTGGCACATTAGCATGCCCTCCAAAAATGGTAGCGAGGATTGTTGTGGCTGCTGTTGCTACTGTCACACTGTTCCTTAATCTCAGGTCTAAAAATCCAGGCTCAGAGCAGCTGACCTATTCTAAACTTCATAAGTTTAGAATAGGTCAAAAGTGACTTCAAAGTGACCCACCACTACCCACCGAATCACTTTCTCACATTCCAAAATAGAGTTGAAAACACTGAAAAATATCACAGAAAGAATGTGGGAACAAAACACAATTAATCATTCAATTTACTTTTCCTGTGTTGACTAGTACAAGAGGCTGCCATGATGGCAAGATGTTTAAACCTATGAAACATGTAAACACTGAAAGCTCATATTTGGTGATTTGGCCAGATATCTGCAAATTCCCTTCCTTAAGTTTTAATACAGTCTCATAATTGCATCATCTGGTATGCATCACCCAATTTCTTAAAAGAAAACCTTTTTTGTTTTGGAATATTTACGGGTTTACAAAAGAGTGGCAAAGATACTACTCGGGGTTATACTATATTCCTCACCCAGCTTCCCTGCTGTTCAGTATTTTACATTATGATGGTATCTTTGCCAATGAAAGTGATGTTGCTTTATTACAGTTAACTAAACCTGGACTTTGTATTCCAGAATCCAGTCCAGGCCATCACATTGCATTGGACTAGCTGTCTGCTAGCGTTCTCTGCTCTGGGACACTTGCTCAGTATTTCTTTCTTTCTTTTTTTTC